AATACGTCAAGTTAACTTATTTGTATTTTTTGCAGGTTTTGACCACAAATCGATAGTTTCTGAGTAAGACTCTCAATAGTCACCAACTTAAAAACAAAAGACACTCGATGCGTCAGAAAGGGAATTTTCCTGTGATGGATGTTTGATCTAGTATAGATAGTAATGGAATATACTGTATACATTCAGAAATGTGCAACAGGTTTAATATAGCAATTACTTGCTTAGAAAGTCAAGTTAAAAAATAAATAAGTTTTCAGAATCAATTGCAACAGCTTTAAATCTGCAGCACTGATTCCACTGAATTGAAGCTTTTAAGCGATCAATTCAGAAGAAACAAGACAATGTGTATTAATCTATAAAACAGATATGAATTAAGATCTTGTAATTTACATAACAAAAAATTATCTACTTATAATCAAACATTTTCAACACTTCCTGACCAGTGTGTTCCTTCCTTCTACGTTACAAGCACTTGAGCACAGTAAAATAAAAAAATACAAAAGTTTGTGAAATTAACTCGACCAGTTTGCATTCAGAATACCTACTTCAAGCGAGAGCACTTATATGTCGTACTTAAAATGAAAAAGAAGGAACATTATTCCTTCCTAATATATTCTTAATAAAAAAACTGTTGTATCTAATGATAGAAAAAATGTTCCTTGCAGCTAATTCCATATCATGCCAATTACTAGTAATTGCTATCTCGGTAATTGAAAAGCCTGTAATTGCATATGGAAATTTTCTAATGGATAATTGTGATTATTAGTCAACTTACAACAAAAATGGAATTAAACTTCGACAATTTTAATGTGCAATAATTACAATTATTCCATGGTACCAGTTTAAACCGAATATATGCATTTCGCATTGTTTAATGTCAGGTTTAGTTAAAAGTCCAATAAGTTCTGAAACGATTCTACACTAGGATAGTAACCTTTGCTGGCTTACAACTGTAACCTATTTATCCAATGCATACTATTATTGATAAGGATAACTACCCGCTAGCTTGCACTTTGACAATAATGAAAGGAATTTTTCGCGGCTTACGCGGACAAATAATTTTTGGAATAAGAAAATTTTACTGCTTCTTATTCCAACAACTATTTGTCTGCTTAAGCCCCGAGAAATCTTTTTAATTTTGCCTTTTCGGACGCTAAAAAAATTTAATTTGACAATAATATTTTTCAGAATATCTTGAATTATGTATTAAATGATGGCCTAAAGTTAAATTGGCGTAGTTTGAAACTAGATTTAAAATAAAAACGTCAGTTACAAGAATACGCGATAAACAAATGTATGCAATAACTTTACTCAAAACATAAAAGAAAAATTGATATCGGACTAAAATAGATGTTATGAGAATAGTTAAACTCATGTAACCGTAGCCCTGTTATTAATAATAAAATATAATCACAATCATCATTTTCTCAGTCAGATTGATTGCTCAAATATTTTTTTATTGTTTACAGATGTGCCTTAAGCCTCCATCCACTTCACAATGGCCCACTCAAAGGACTGTTTTCTACGTGGTAAGTTTATTAGGCTTATCGAACTTCAAATTGGTATAATGACTAATTTCTAACAAATCGTTTATAAACGATGTATGGAAATACCATAACGCGTAAAAAAACGTAAGTCGAACGGATTATTTCACATATATCAAGTAAATTTCCGAGAAATAAATATGTCGACTCAATGTCTCGATAACAAAAGCAAATCGCTTCTGCAAGAACGAACGATGGAAAAGTATGGAGTGCAAAACCTCGGCTTGTGTACTGGAAATAAGATTAAATTAATAATTATCGGTGTCATTGTAAGTGTAAAGAACGCTGAGTCCTGCATTCTTATACTATGTGGGTCACACGGTGTGACGATGTGTAGTTTACAACTTTTTACATTCCGAATGTTATTGTTTTCGTAAGCCTATTTGCAACATCCTTTGACATTGGGTGACGAGGTTTTAATTTTGGAGTAAGCGAATAGTGCGAATAGTGCACAAAAACAACTTATATTGTTTATCTGTTTTTGTAATGTAATCTTGTTCAGTCTTGTAAATGGCACAATTTTAATCGAAACAATCTATAAGCAATTGATTTAAAATGTTGTGCACTAAGGCAAGTCAAAGTAGTACTGGAAGGTGTTCCGAATGGATAATTCAGACAAAGCTGGGAAATGTTTTTACTAAATGATGCTTAGTTTTAAGTTCCATCTACAAAATGATAACTACAAATGTAACCTTTAATTGTTTTACAGATAACAGAGTGTTTTATATGTAAAATGCGTGTTAAAACAAATTGTTGGGGCTTCCAGCTGGTTGTTTTCCACCTGTTGATTAAAATAACTAAATAAGATTGTTATCGCTTTTTGCTGCACACCAAAAAATAAATCTATTATGTAACAGTGATCAACATTTAATAAATTAAGCGAATACTTTTGTGCGCGTATAAACGGCTGAAACACTAATAAATGTCATTCGAAAATAGTGAAAAGTTATGGGGAAATGCAAAAGTCTTTGTTTAACAACACGTTTAACAATGAAAAGAGCGGATTTTTATGCCTAGTTTTTCTATATAAATTTGCTTATCCGAGCATTTTGTAACTCTTTTATCATCTGGACATCTGTTAATTTTTGATCTATACCAACTTCTTATTGAAAAAATTATAGATTTATCTGAAATTGTGACGTTTCATCCACCTATCTTTCCATTTTTTTCTCAATTTTACGTACAGTAGTTTGCGATATGGCTGATCAATCTGGATATTTTCCAATAAACAGATCGTAATAATTTCTAATGTTAATTTTTCAATAATTTTAATGTTTTTGGTTGAATGGACAAACACAAATTTTCTGGCTAATTGGCCTTAATTAAAAAGTGGAACGTAAATGTGCTTTTTACTGTCATCTCTTGAGAGACAAATGAGAAATTTGGTGATTAACTATGACTTCAGTACACGTGAACTACATTGAATAAAGAACTCACTTAGGTTCAATTCAATCATATGAAATTTCATAAAGTGCTTGATGCCTTCAGGATATTTTTGCGTTTAACTAACTTTTTCTTCCTGCTTTCCATTATATACAATGTGTATTAAAAGTTGTTTAAATTGCTTATTGAAATAAATACCTTCTTGGAAATATTTAGGGACTACAGAACAAAAAGCACAAAAATAATTCTGATAAAAACTGGAATATTTGCTATACATTCTGCAGACTTCTTTTCTCGTTCTAAAGTTTCTTCGAAAATAAAAAGTGTAATTTGCTCGTCCAAACAACACACCGTTATACCGAAAATTTGACCAATTTAGAATATTTCCCAGGAACATAAACTTTGCATTTGCGACATTGTTATACAGTTAGAGTTTTGAAGAGTACCATTTGAAATATCTTCTTCTTATTTGAGGTATCTTCATATCATTCAAAATTGATCGAAGCCAAGTCTATATCAATGAAATTTATTGAAAATTACTGTAATTTAATGTCCCGAATTGTTCTAATCTTCAGACCGTTAGTAGTAAAAAATAATTTTATCATGTGCATATTTACCCTTGACAAAATGCTTCAATTCTATGTAATTTAAACTGTGTTTTGGCATACTCTATGATTCTCAACTTATTACATGCTCATTGAATCAGACAGAAGTGATCGGTGTTTAGCCAGTGCAGCCTTTAAAAAATAGAAATCACAACAGTTGCATTATCGATATCATTGTTTAAAACAAAAAAAGTTGGGAGTGTACCAGTTTGGGTACTCGGTTAATTCAATTTGGTTTTGATTGCGTGGATTGCGTAGAAATGATGCCACACTTTAGATGATGATTTCGGTGACTTAAACAAGCTCTACTCTTTTGCGATATTCGGGATTTACATCTGCTGTACTCATATCCAATGGCCAATAGACCACTTAACCACCTGCAAATTAGCTAACCCGTTCAAAAAGACCTAAATACATCAGTTCACATTATTTTTAATCAAAATGTGTATTGTGTGCGTTATTTGTATCGTATATGATGTTTCGTGCACACACTGTAGTTCTTCTGGTTCGGTTAACAAATTATACGGCGCAACAGATCGACATATCAGTAAACGAAACATGGCTCAATAGTATTTCTCACATTCTTTCAAGTGGCTTTTCAAGGAATAAGTGTGTGAACCACCAGAGTCAAGGTATTAATTTATTGTTTCATGGTCTGCTAGATCAAATAATAGAAAAAATTACCTCTTCAAACCCACCCACATTATTCGGATAAAGCTGTTTACTGTGACCAGAAAAAATAGTTTATAGAACAAACTGAGGTACAAAAAAAACTGAAACGAAACCACCGTTGAAGAAGCGATGAGAGATGCAAATAAGGACATTGAAATTGTGTTTTGTAACTAAAATGTTCAGAAATATTGACTCATCTATATGATCAGGTCAAGTCAAGAAACCCATTCAATTGTCTGCCATGTCAAAGGTTTGAGCACTCAGTATAGCCTGCGGCAATTAAAGATGTTAATAAGGCGGATATACGAAGGTTCGTTTCATGGCAAGTCCCATAGGAAAGAATACTTCGGATGGGGTGTCGGTTTGTTTGTTTTGATTATGGGAATTTCTTGAATAATAGCAAGTGTGAGTATTTGGTTCTAGTACCCACGCTAGGAAAAAGGTCATTAGCGAACACCCATACTTTAATCATGGTTTCCCAGATTTTACATGATGACTTATATCCACAATAAATGTTATTTCTCGTTTGTTTTTCTTGCTTTTTGCCGTAAATTATCTGACATTTTCACCTATAAATAAATTATTTTTAATTTATTTCAATGATATTAGAACCTTGCATGTTTATGCAAGAATACAAAGTAAATGACGCGCTGAATACAATGATGCAAATAAATGGATAGCGAGATATTTTTAGACGACAAGATAATCAAGGTGTAGCAACAACAAAAAAAGCAAAACTGCTGAGAACAGCGGAAAACTTCTGTACTGAAGTATACACGGGTAGTCATCAATAAACGCGTCAACAGTCAACAACATCTGTATAAACAGGTATTTAAAAGTGATACACCCATATGTGAAGAAAAAAGTCTATGAACAATGTTATAACATATGGAGCAGAAACTGTGACATTAACAAAAGAGTCTAAGAGTAAGAGAGAGAGCCACCCTAACTAAAGTTAGAGATATAATTGAACGCATCCTAACTAGAATGAAACGGAGATCGGCGGGTAATGTGGCGAGAACATCAAATAACAAGTGAGAAGTAACCACGAGAAGAGAAACGCAACAGAGGAAGGCTCAGACAGAGGATGACATAAAGAGGAATTGGATGGCGATGGCCTAGAATCGAGAGAAATGGAGGAACTTAGAGGAGTTCAGCACTGTCTAACGGTTAGGTACATGATGATGATAATGATGATCACAAAGTAAATGACTGAAAAATTTACTGATTGTCCAGAAACCACACAAAAAAATGAAGGAATTTTCGATAATCCTTGAAAAGCGATACTATAGAATATAATCATTTACACAAATGGCAAGATTATTACATAGCCTTTGGCCTAGATACAAATTGAATTCTTCATTGGAGTAGTCTAGGTGTTGTATTCCAATAGAACCTGGTGTCGAAATTTAACATTTATATATGTAACAACTTGACCATGTAATAGCTTTGTTTCAGAAATAAATGAATGAACGGTTTCGAACTTTTAAATGTCAGAATTAGGAAATTAATGTTTTATTTACTGAACTATTTATCACGCTTGTTGTAAGGTCACCCAGAAGTACTTTATAGTGTGGAATACATTCAGATATAGTTGGTTTTGCTGTGTAGCAAAGAACTTGTTTTTTATTTTCTTAAATGTAATACTTTGCATATGTTTCTTTTATATATAAAGTGCTTTCGATGTTAAAATTTACATATGATTGAAATCACTACGATTTGAAACATGAAATGTTATTTAGTGAGTTGCTGTGTACAATTAAATGAAGAGAAATACACATCTTCAATTCGTACTTGATCCGTTTAGAATTTAGTATATCTAACAAAAATATTCCGAACTGATGAAAGTGTGCTATGTGAAAATCATCAACCAACCAGAGCTAACAGACGTTTCCATCGATTATATAACGCATAGATACATATGATAACCACATAATAGTACGTGCCTTTAAAGGTAATTACAAATGGAATTTGCGATAGTTAAGCGCATTAAGACACTCACTAAAATGATGAGAAATATAAACAATTCTAAGCAAATGGGAGGAAAATTTACTTTTGATCACATACAGATTACCTAACGTAGATTGGTTACTGTCTAAAAAAATGGGATTCAGTTAAATAATAGTTGTATGGAATATCTAGTAGTCATATGCAACGGCATTGGCAATACGTTTACGACAAAAAAAATCTTCAAAAATCCATTTGTCGCTAAATAAAAACAATTTTCCTTAGTAAACCATAATTTAGAATATGGGTGGTAGTATATGGTAGAAAATAATTAATAAGAAACAAAATTCTAGTTCCTTCCTTGTTTCTTTTAAACTAAACACTTGTTACGAACTAATTTTGAAGAGCAGCGGAATTTCTGCAAAGAATATTGTGTGACGAATATTGTTCACTTGCAGACCATATTACGGAATAACATTGAATATTTTACCAAATTGAATGTTCACCAATAGATTCTCTGCAATGTTGATCAGTACTAAAGATCAGAGAAAATAAATCAAAATCCCAAACCATCTATGTATGTAATAACCAAATGCGCAAAATAGCCTCATAAATCAATTTCATATTTTTTTTTACATTTAGACAACAAAGTAAAGAGTCCGAACTGGCAATTCTCTTCCCTTTTGCAAAATTTGATTTTGCTTTAATGTTCAATGTATCATGTTTTATTATTTCGGTACAATTTAGAAAAGCTTTTTTTCCAATTGAACACCTCGGCGAATTGAAAACGCTCAACCAGTATTGATTTAAATTCAACACACTTGAACATGGTAATGTAATTTCCCTCATTGACCCAATTAAGAGTTCAATATCTAAAAATTATGACAAGTTGTTCTAATAAATTACGGAAACTTTATTTAGCGATGGCTTTGAAAGCGACAACAGACAAATAAAATTAAAGTTCTTATTGAACTGAGTCATTAGTTAATTGCTAAGCATATTACTAGAAGAACGAACGATGGCGTTTCATTGACCTCGGTGAAAACCTTTAACAGTTTATAGAGTTATTTAGGAATAAAATGGAAGTTTCGCATGCAGGGCGGAATTTACCGGAAAACCGCTGGAAAATTCGGGTTTTTTTTAGAAACTTTTAATAATTTTTTGGAAAAACATCGGCAAGGCTGAAGACTATGAATTGTCTGAAAGTCTTGGACTTGCTGATGGCTAAAGTAATATAATTTCTAGGCGAATGCTACAATTTATTTAATTTTACAAGAATCAGCTTTAGAAAAAATTATTTACATTACGATTAATAACACAATCTAAATATGTACCGTTACATTTTTTAATCCCTTATAAAATTCGGATATTTCCAATGATTATTCTAGAGCAAATCAATCAAACAAAAGCAGCACCCATAACCGGCACATTTTAGCTGAAAATTAAATAATGAAGTGATAGAAAACCATGGACATCAATCATTTTAATATGCCGCATATTGATGATTTTATCGATTAATGCATTTGCATGTTCATCGCATACGCATATCTGATGCTTATTGAAACTAGTAAGTAGAGCTTAATTCAATTAAGAATAGTGAGCATAAAACACTATTCAGTATGTATCAAATCGCATGTTTAATGTGCTGGAGACCAACATGCAATCTTTGTTATTAAATTTGTAGCGTTAAAATACCCGGAGAACTCGCCTTGTATAAAAGTTAGACAGTTTTATTTAACAAATTACACTTTTAACTGTTGCTCATTATTGATGCTTTAAATATTAGTAAACAGTTGATCATTTTAATACAAAGGAATACTTAATGTTATATTTCAAATTTTGGACGCGCTTAGTCCTTAGCTATAAACAGATAATACATATATTTTTGTTAAAAAAACGAAATTTGCTCAAGCTGTTTCTGCTGCTGAATGTTGGTTGTAATTATTTTTATTTACCAGTGTTTACACATTTCTAAACAACAACCTGTAGCGACTGTTTAATCATAATTGTTATTCTTGCTATCCTATAGCTACTAATGTACTGGCAGGAGGATATGTTATAACGACAAGGACGCTATTAATGCGGTCATTCTAGAGTTAATTTTTTAGAAAGCTTCGCCAGGGTGTGATCGACGTACCAGAATTAATCACATAAAAGCATCGAAATGTCACGGAGAAGTTTTGAAGTTTTTCCGTCTCAATCCACATTCGTAATATTTTTGCAGATTTTAATTGAAAAATACTTTTTACAGCTGAACAGGTTCGTTAAAAATCCATTAATATTCTTATGTTTCTGGGGTCCGGTATCAATGTTATATTGAATGCAAGACGTCCGGGTAAAACATATCGAACGTGTAATAGTAATTTGGTTTAGTTGGAATTATTATAAATTAATGTCCAAGGAATCAATATTTCAATAGGTTAGCACTGATTGGACTTTGAATTTAAATTGAAGTGGTCATGTGCTATGTTTTCATGAAAATCTATATAAAACGTGTACAGCAATTTATTTCAAGTACGCACTTCATATTCGAAGTTCCTCAGATGCCTCGGCGGACACTCTGAACTTGCATAATTTTGCAGTTTGAAAACGTATACACCTATTATCAATATAACAGAAAGTAACGTTGGTATTGAAACCAGCAAAAGTGAAGCATTAAATTTTTATCGAGTTGATTCTCTTTCATCAGCTCAAAGCTTCGTCATTAAAGTTTCTGAAAAAACATGTAGCTTCAATGGAATTATCGTTGAATACCAAAACAGCAAAGAATACCTTCGAATCAAAAAATCTTGCACTTAGAGAATTTTCGTTTTCGAGGTCGTTTTCACCATGGGAATATTTTAGAAAAAAAATCGATCAATTTAATTTTGATTACTCCGGTTTCTAATCAAATAATCTTGTTCTTAAAAATTTTGATTTTAATAACAGCGGTCTGTGCTTATATTTGTTATAATCATCTCTGGTTTAGCCAAAAAAGAAATGGTTTTTTCAATTCCCAATTTTCATCACATTGACATAATTTTGGGTCCTATACATTCGTCTGATCAACCGAAGGTCTAAAAAATCAGGATTTGAAAGAAATTCCCATATGTTTCAATGTTTCAAAGTTCAGTCATTTGGTACTATTTTGTAAAACGTCTCACGTGGTTCTTCTCCAAAAAACATTTATTTTATATAAACTTATTAGTTATGAAAAGAACCTATTGTTGCATTGAAATCAATATAAGCATTGAGGGGAATGAACTTCACACTTGGGATTAATTCGTCTATAGAAGTGTTTCCGGCATTTTGGATGCACTTCTCAAGCCTTTCTCGACTAGACTGTATTACACTCTACATTTCTGCGCTAGAAATGCTTTGAATGTTAGCTTTTTATGACTTTGTGTTTCAATAGTTAATGTGTGTATGTTTTGGTCAATGTTTACCAGTTGTTAATGACATTTGGAAATCCAGATCTTACAATGCGCAAAAAATTATTTTTATATATTTAAAACTTCGCATTCGTTTTTATTTAAGTTTTCCCTTTTCTTGTTTCGTTGACCTTTAGTTCATGTTAAATACCGCATTTGTAAACACATTTAATATTGTTTAATTTGCTTTTAGTATGTTTTATTTGAATTGTTTAATATGTTGTAAATCCAGATTTTGTGGCAACTAATCATTTGCACCACCAGTGACCAGTCATCCAATTGAGACTAAGTTTTTTCAAAAAAAGCAAATTTTCTTACAACAATAGCCCATTAGACATCCTTAAAATCTGTATACATTTTAAATAAACTGAGCAATGTTATTGTCATTCCCGGTTTTACGAAATTTCTATGACCGACTCCTCCAGTTGAACCAAGCTCTTGTTATCAACTTATCTAACAGCAAAACTGCAAGATTTACTCCACAATACCTTAATTGAATGAAATGTGTTGTGCATCTGAAGGCAAAGGAGTGTTATGAAGAACCGTGATTAAGCAAAAGCCCATGTTAATCCAGATAATGTTAACTTGATGAATGGCTCTTAAAACACTCCAATGGAGACACGCTGTTGATTTTTTGCACCTACTTTGTTATTTTCTTGTCGGTTGAAACGTCTAACCTGAAGGGATAACTTTTCGCTTTCAATATTGAACAAGTACAATACTCTTCCGGTAAGGTTTCAGTGTTTTTGTAGTATGTTTAAAAGGGTTGTAGTATGTTATTCAAGATTGTTTTACTAATACTTGGTGATAGCGAAATTTTAGCATATTTGTCATTTTAATGACTATTGGTTTCACTTTTCATATTTTGAAACGAAATTTTATGTCCTACAAATATTTCACTTGCTACCAGTATCACATTCTTCCTATTGAAACTAAATATACAAACTCATCTCGTATCTACAAGCTGCTTAGTTGATTCTTATCAATTGTTTCTTTATGATTCTCTCGATTAAATATTTATTTAAAAAGTTGCTAAACCTGAAAAATCACTAGGGTTATAGCGCTTAACGCAAGTAAGAAACTTTATCACAAAATGGGTTTTAATCAGCATCATTTTTAGT